CATAATGTGTGTAAGATATACTGTTTATAATGTATAGTATATGTAAGATATATCTATATGTTATATGCATGACATGGGTGAGATGTGTATATTATATGTGATATATGTGGTATGACTATATCATACATATGTGTGTTACATGTATGTTGTATGTCTTTGTATATGTTCATATATAATATCCATCTGGGCTTCAGTTTCCCCTTCTGTAAGTGAAAGTATTGTCCTTAGTCCCAGTAAGCTGCCTTACATCTAGGCTCCCTTAAAGGCAAAGTGGCATAGTAGATATCTAGACAGACCTGAGTTCAAATCTAGCCTCACACATTTAATAACTGTGTGACCCTGAGCAAGTCACTTAAAGACGGAAGTTTCTCCATCCGTACAATGGAGGTAATGATACCACCCACCCACCTCAAGCCCAACATACATTTAATAAATGTTTGTCGATGGATTGAAGACCAGGAAATTTACTGTGCTGTGCTCTCTAAGCATCATTTTGAAAATATTTAGAAAAACAACATCATGAGGTGTGCTTCAAAGACGGAAACCATATCAGAACACCTTCTCCAGCATGTGCCTGGGGTAAAATGAAGGAGGAGACGTCTTTCCATCCACAGCCTCCATTTTGGGGGTCCCTCAGTCTTCGTCGCCTCCCCCAACATCCTCAAAGTTTGCCTCCTGCTTTCTCTGTCACAATCTGAAAACACCTGGTCAACTCAGTCCCAGTAAAGGGTGGATGACTGATGGCTCTGACCAATATTTATCAAGGGCCCATCAATTCCTCACTGGAGCCTGGAGAAAGACTCGGTCCCTTTCCTCAAGTCACTTTCAGTAATGATTACTCTCTAGAGTAACTGGACCCAAACAGAGTATGTAGTTGGGGTAAACAACCTTGAATGTGGAATTTCAAGCCTCAGTGAGCACCTGGGTAGGTTTTTCCCCTGGGTGTACTTAAAAACTCTTGAATCCTACCATGGAAAGCGCCAAGGACCGACTATTGAAATGGGTCTGGTTCCTCTCCCTCTCCTTGGTTTTGAAAAAGGCTTTTGTTGGAAAGGACCTTGGGTGACTCCAGAATTTCCTGCAGCTCTCTTCATGCTCTTTGGCTGCCTTCCACGGGCTCCACTCAGACATCCTGGGGAGGTTCCCATCAAAGGGGAATCTCCATCATTTAAGGAGATAAGAGGCTGGAAGCCTTCAAATCTCAATAAGACATCCACCTACTAGAGAAATTCCCAAGACTTCTGCAGGTGTTCTCTCCTCCCACGGAACCCAGGAGCCCTGCGGAGGCTCCAGAGGTTAAAGAGGTCCCTGAGAAGCCTGGTCAGGATGGTGGATCTTAGGTTTAATTAATTCATTGAGAACAAACACTTACCAAGTGCCTCTGGTGCGAGAGGCTAGGCCTATGCACTGGGTGGTAGCACACACAACAGCAGACACAGTCCCTGCTTTCAAAGAACTTACATCTTTTTAAATTTGTTTTTATTTAGGTAATTGGGGTTAAGTGACTTGCCCAGGGTCACACAGCTAGTGTCAAGTGTTTGGTCTGAGGTTGGATTTGAACTCAGGTCCTCCTGACTTCAGGGCCAGTGCCCCATCCACTGCGCCACCTACCTGCCCCAAAAGAGCTTGCGTTTTCAAAGAGACAACATTTTAATGTTCAGTTGTGTCCAACTATCTGACCCCATTTGGGATTTTCTCAGCAAAGGTACCAGAGTGGTTTTCCATTTCCTTCTCCAGCTCATTTTACAGATGAGGAAACTGAGGCTAAAAGGGTTAAGTGATTTACCCAGGGTCACACAGCTAATAAGTGTCTGAGGCTGGATTTGAACTCGGAAAGATGACATCGTAATAATTAGGTCCATACTAGGTATATACAGAGTAGAAGGAAGGTAACATGGGAGGGGAAGGCCCTAGCCGGGAGGGCCAAGAAGTGAAGTTTGAACTGAATCTTGGAATCCGGGGAAACCCAGGAGGAACTGAGATGGGTGACAGAGCACTCCAGGTATGGTGGGGCAGCCAGGACAAAAGCCCAGAGACAGGAGATAAGACTGGAGCTGGGGGCAGCTAGGTGTCGCAGTGGACAGAGCACGGGCCCTGAAGTCAGGAGGACCTGAGTTCAAATTTGGCCTCAGACCAAACACTTGACACTGACTAGCTGTGTGACCCTGGGCAAGTCACTTAACCCCAACTGCCTAAAAATAAAATTAAAAAAAGACTGGAGCTGGATGGTAGATGCCACAGAAGTTGTTTTTCATGTCTTACAGAAAAGAAGATAAGACGTATTGCAGGGAGAACATCAGCTCTCTGAGGGCAAGGACTTTCATTTTTGTCTTTGTAGCCTCAGCACCAAGCCTACAGCAGACCCTTCCCCAACCACTTCTTTTTGGACAGGAACTGAAGGAGTTTCTAGGGAGGAATTTCCTTTACCAATAGAGTCGTAGACCTTTATACTTCTTGGTTTTAGAAAGTTGCTTGGGGCACCAAGAGGTTAGGTGACTTGTCCAGGGACTCGCACACAGTATGTATCAAAGGCAGGACTTGAACCCAGATCTTTCTGACTCAGCAGCCAGCTCTCTAGCCACCACACCACACTGCCTCTCCCCTGGCATAGAGGAGGTGCTTAATAATTGCTCATCTGATTGACTTGTGATTCTAGTTTGGACAAGTGCAAACGGTGAAGAAAAGGCATTAGGTTTCATTATGAAAACATCTGCATCCTTCCCTTTTGTCTCTGCTCATGGTCTAATGTCTGAAATTATTCCCCATCCTCCAGTTCCACCGGTAGGGACCTCCCCAGAATGGTCTAGTGTCCTCGAACCTCAAACAGCACCAGGGCCAGCTGATACTCACATTGAACGTTATGAAGAAAGAAGAGAAAGCAGAAGAGGTGACCGAGGATGCCAACTCCATCCCACCTTGACTTTTGGAAATCTCATATAATACAAACACCACCTCCTCCAAGAAGCCTTCCCTGATTTCTTTTCCCTTTCCCCATCAGAAAGTATTTCCTTCCAAAGCATAGGATCATAGACACAAAGGAAGAAAGGAGGTCATCTGGTCCAGCTCATTTATTTTACAGATGTGTAAACGGAGGTCCAGAAAACTGAAGTGACATCCAAAGTCACACTGGTAGAAAGAGGCAGGATTTGAACCCAAGTCCTCTGATTACAAAACTACTCACCTAATCAGTTAGATGGCACACTGGATGAGCATGCTGGATTTGGAGTCGGGAAGACAGGAGTTCCAATCCTGCTCCAGACACTTATTAGCTATGTGACCTTGGATAAGTAATTTAACCTCTCTTAAACTCAGTTTCCTCAACTGTAAAATGGTAATAATAATGGCACCTACAGTCAGCGTGGGATCAAATGGGACCGTAAATGCAAAGTGCTTTGGAAATCTTAAACGACTATAAAAATGTTCAGCCTTATTTTGATTCTTCCGTATTCCCTGCCATTCTGATGCTGTCTTGTGCTTAAATTACATTTGTGATCTGTTCCGTGGCTGTTGAATAATCTCGAATGCTTGTGACATATTTTTCCCTACTAATTAACGTCACGAGGCAGCTGGGCGGTGCCGTGGTGCACAGAGCACTGGACTTGGGGTCAAGAAGACCTGAGTTCAAATCTGGCCTCAGACACTTAGTAGCTGCGTGACCCTGGGCAAGTCACTTAATCCTGTTTACCTCAATTTCCTCATCTGTAAAATGAGTGGGAGAAGGAAAAGGCAAACCGCTCTAGTATCTCTGCCAAGAAAACCCCAAATGGGGTCACGAAAAGTTGGACACAGATGAAATGACTGAACAAAAGAACAAAATTTGGCCGAGTTCAATAAGCCTCAGTCCCCATTCCTCCCCAAGGGCCCACACCTGGAAAGCTCATCCTCCTCACCTCTGCTTCTTGGAGCCCCGTGGGCCCGGCGAGGCTCTGTTCAAGTTTCACCCCCTACAAGAGTCTTTGCTGATTTCTCCTCACCAGAACCACCCCAGCCATGAGCACGAGAGGAGATTGCAGCCTAGCTCTGACTCCCAAGCCCAGCCCTGTCCCCACTCCACCAAGCCCCAAAGCAGAGATAAGTGACGAGAGTCACTTGGAAAACAGTGGGAGAGACTGGTGATGAACCAGATGAGCTATGATCAGAGATGCAGAAGGAGGCACACATTTGCAGACATCGTCAGGGCGTGGGTTATTTTTTTTGTTTGATCATATTTTTTGGTTACAAGAGAAGTTTTTATTTATTTATTTTTTAAACTGGAGGATGAGAGCAAGGAAATGGGCTCCTGATTGTCATGGCCAAAAAGAAAGAAAAAAAGGCCATTGGAGCATCCTTTTTTTGTTTGTTTTTTTTTGTTCGTTCATTTGGTTGTGTTTTTTTTTTTTTGGCTAGGCAATGAGGTTAAGTGACCTGCCCAGGGTCACACAGCTAGTAAGTATCAAGTGTTTGGTCTGAGGCTGCATTTGAACTCAGGCCCTCCTGACTTCAGGGCCGGTGCTCTATCTACTGTGCCACATAGCTTCCCTGGAGCATTCTTTTTAATGGACAAGAGAGAAATGGGAAAATCAGAGGAGACACAGATAAGCAGGACAACTTTGAAACTACATAATGAACTTATTACTTTAGAATGTGAGCTCATTCCAAGTTGAGACCTTTTCAATCATGTACTTGTGTTCCAATCGGGCATAGTCGGTGCTTAATAGATGACCAACTGATGACATACTTTTCAGAAAACCAAGCTGTATATAACAGAGATTTCAAGCTTCATGTACAATCCTCCCTTTTCTGTTCTCTTTTGTATATGAAAATGTCCACAATTGTTGGCATTTGTCAAGTGTAGAATAACAAAAAATAACAAAATAAAATTTTAAAAATATTTTTTTAAGAAAGAACCTGGAGGGCTATGACAGGAAGATGATGCCCTGATTAGCCAAAGCTTAAAGTCCCTATGGGTGAGCAGTCCTGGAAGTCTTTGAAAATCCTCTCCAGTGAAACAGACACACCAGTCATTTTTTAAGTCAATGCTTTAATATTTAACTGAAAAAAAATAAACATTGCCAGCTTGCATGGAACAGGTTCTTGCCAAAATTTTCAAAAACAGAATTTACGCAATACATTAAAATATTAGTTTTACATTTAATAAATCTTGCATAGCAAAACATGACCATGTTAAGAAAGTCTAAAATGGAAGCCAACATTTAAGCAACCTTAGGATGAACAGCATCCAGGAAGATGGGGACGGAGATGCCTCTGTCATTGCAAGTTGCCTAAATCCAGACACAAATTCATTTTGCCACTTTTAAAAAATAAAATGCCCTTCTTTTAAAAAAAAATGTGTAATTTTAAAAAAAGTGTACATTGTTTTTTTCTTGTGATATAAATTAAGTACATAAAAGAATCACAACTGGATTCAAACTTTATGGTGAAAACATGCTCTGCTTTTATCTCCCTGTTTTAAACAGGATGGTTACTTACTGGAAGAGATAAAATGTGACTTACTGGAGCCGTCCCCTCTGAGCCCTTAATGTGGGGACAAGGGACAGGACAGAAAATTCGAGAAACACCAACTTCTATTCAGCACCTTACTGAAGGGAAGCTGTGCTTGGGAGAGAGGGGTGGCACAGTACCTCACTGTGCCCATGAATAGAGTTCCATTCGGACAACTGTCCACATGTACATGGTGGATATTTTTAATTGGTCATTCAAGGAGAAAATAAGTGAATATGCTCAGATTTGGGCATAGAAAGATCAGAAATACCTCATTTACCCTGCCATTTTCTTTAACTTTCAAAATCATAAAGGAGTCATATCCCCAAATAGACGAGGGTGTTTTGGGGGAAGGGGGGAGCATTGGTGGTGGTGGAGAGGATAGAGACTTGAGAAGGAGGGAAATAACATAATAATTAAAGAAGACCTCCCTTCTCACACACAAACAACCCCCAAGTACAAAAAATTAAGTATTCAATCATGTTAACTGTGCCCAATGGAGCCCAAGAAAATCACCCATTAAGAAATGGTTTCACTCAAGAGGATCAATTCCCCCAGGAGGCCCATCCTAATGCTGGTGCATTCCTTGGTTCTCGGTGAAGACCAATATAGAATTCTGTAACATGCAGTTGTCTTTAAAAACCAAAGGTCCATGAGGGCCCAGCTTCTCAAAGTATTCTGAAAAAGACCAATATAGAATTCTGTAACATGCAGTTGTCTTTAAAAACCAAAGGTCCATGAGGGCCCAGCTTCTCAAAGTATTCTGAAAAAGACCAATATAGAATTCTGTAACATGCAGTTGTCTTTAAAAACCAAAGGTCCATGAGGGCCCAGCTTCTCAAAGTATTCTGAAAACTTAACAATACAAATAAAAGAGGCACAAAGTAGATTAGTAGACATCAAGGTTAAGTGATACAGAAGCTCAAGTACATTTTTTTTTCTTTTCAGATGTAAAATTCACTTAAAAAAAAAAACAAACAAACCAAGGTTTGCTGCTTGGCACCATCCCAGATCATCACCTGGGATTATACAATCCTTTTCCTCTTTCTTTTTCTCTCCCAAGAAACCTAATTTCCTGTAATCCAAGGCAACATGTCTTCCACTTTTTCCATCTGATTGGCTGAGATCTACAAGGAGCCTCTTGGCCAAAGCTCAAACCCTGGAGAAGGTCATCTCCTTGTAGATTTTTCCTCTGGTTGCCCGTAAAGAAGATGCAACTCCAGCATAAAATTTCTTAGAAGTGATTGGTTTCTAATAAGCTACACCCTAGTGGTTTTTCTGAGGACATCAAAACAACATGGCTTTCAAAGATTTCAAATAGGGTACAAATACTGACAGCTGGTAACATAACAAGCAATTTGGTATTTGTCAGGTAAACCCTTCCAGGAAAGGGCTCAGATCCCAGGGAAGAGGGAAAGCCTATGGAAGCTCCTCTTACCTGGCAATGATAAAACCGAATTGTATGTTTCAGCTACAATTGTGTTTACTTGCTTTATTTTGCCAGTACATTTAACGAGAGGGATTTCGGCATCCCTTTAGTGACTGTCCTCACCACTCCCTGACCCTTAACCCTCTCAAAAGTTGTGCCAAAATAAGAATTATGGGACAAGTTAGGAGCAGTAACACCTGGTCTAGGAATCTGGGTAGTTAAGACCAATATTAATGCTATTAGGATCACGGGATCGAGGAAACCTTAACAGAAACATCACATACAGGTGACATAATCCATTATAAATTGTTTCCTGTTCTTCAGAAGTCTCTCTTTAAAAAATAACAAAAATAAAAACCACCATGGTTTCCTTCCAATAAGTTTTCAAAGAGGGACAGAATGTGTGGGGCAAGGTGTGCGACAGGTATGTGCCCTGTAACTAGCATGAAAGGAGCTACCCAGGTAACCCTGAAAGACAGACGGGGGTACAGGGAATATGCCACAGTCCTTGTCATGTGTATTTAGGGAAAGAACCGGGCACCGATGTTCCCACTCGGACAGTCCTCTTTCCAATGCCAGCTCACTACTAGTTGCTGGGAGAGTCAGTTTCCGCTGTTCTGCCTCCTTCCTCTACAAAGAGGAATTTTCGGAGAATATTTGCATAAAAGGGTCCATACACTTGTTTATTAAGGTTCACAATGTTTGCGTACTGAGAGCCCAGAGTCTCCAGCTCGGGCTGGATAACAGTGAGGCCCCCGGGAATGGGGGGCATGCATTTCTGATCGCTTGGAAGACTGAGGACACTCTTCATATACAGATGAATTCGTTTATCTGAAAAAATAAATGCAGAAAGCTTTGTGAGTCAGGGAAGCGATCGTGCCTTATAGGACCATGAATTTAAAACTGGGAGAGACCATAGCAATCATTGAGTCCAACCCCATCATTTTACAGATGAGGAAACTGAGGCCCTGAAAACTTTAGTGACCTAGGATCACAGACACAGAGCTGGAAGAGACCTCCTCATTTTACAGATGAAGAAGCTGAGGTCCAGATGGGGGTAGTAGTTTTTCCCCAGGGTCACACAGCGAGTGTCAGAGGGGAGATTTGAACAGAGATCTTCTTGATTCCAAGTCGAGGGCACTCTATCCACCCCTCCAGGACCCCTTGTTCATTAATTTCTTTTTTAGTAGAGAGGAAACACCTCAAGGGTGGAGACTCCTGTAGAACCCACTGCCTTGGAACCCCCAGCACACAACAGTGTTTGGAACACAGCAGGTCTTTAGTAACTATTGACCAAGGCGGGAAAATGAGATGCTTCTTTTGTTTCTAAGTACAAGACGTAGTCTAAGATACTTTTGGGAGAAGGCTGGTGGCGGTGAGAAGCATGACTGGTCAATACACAGTACCCATTGATCCATTCTGTCTATTAATTCATAGGTACAGAGGAGCCCTTTACTATAGATTTGTCACATCCCAGCTGTGTGACCTGGGCAAGTCACCATATTTCTAGTCTTAGGGATGGTCAGTTGCTGATTGAAAAACTGAGAGATCCCATCTGGATAACCATTGTATTTCCATGTGAAAAAATGGAATGTTGTAAAATTCCAACTGAATTCACCAGCCTTCAAAGCACAAAGGCCTGTCTTTCCAAAGCTTAGCTTTCCTGGGATCTATCCACCTTCCCCTTTTCCAGTGCATTCACTTCCTTTTCCTCTCAGTACACACACACACACACACACACACACACACACACACACACACACACACACACACACACACACACACCCCACCTACTCTCTTGAGAACACTGAACTTGAAGGGGTGATGCGCGTGACCTGGTGAAGTGGATGTAAGTCAGGATGACTTGGATTTCAACCCCACTAACCAGCTGTGTCACTTCTCAGAGCCTCAGTTTCCCCATCTGTAAAATGAAAGGGTCAGACCACAGGCGCTCTCAATCCAATCATTTTCTCATCCACGCTCATGCTCCCAGCTGGAAAGCATGAAATGGAAATTCATTGGACCACGCGGTTCAAACTGGGAGGGACTTGAAAGGCCAAGCAACCAAAATGAGCGGATGGAAGAGACTGGGTCTGAAACCAGTTCCTCATACTCTCGATCTAATGTTCGTCTTACTAACCCACAAATCCTGCTTCTCAAATTAGTTAAACAAGTGCCAGGTATGAGCAAGCAACAGAAAGACAAAGGCAAAAACAGCAAAAAAACAAAACAAAACAAAAAAAAACAGTCCCTGCCCTCAAGGAGCTGAAATTGTACAGGATCAAATGATCACCAAGCATTTATTAAGTACCTACTGTATACCAGGCACCAGAACTCCTGCCCTTGAGGAGACTACATTTCACAACCCATTTCTCTTGCCTTCAGTTCCTCTAAACCTGAATGTACAGGGACACAGCTTAGCAGCTGTTCATAGGAGAGAAGCCCCGGGCCACTCCAAGCCCACAGGCATCACCTAGCTAGACTCTGTAGGAACAGAGATCTGGCTTGTGGGGCTAAATGGGAAATCCAAGATCACAGAATAAGGGGGAGCTTGAAGACCAGGACAACAGAGTGAAGAGCGTCAAAGACCCTGAAAACAGCTGAGACAGGGGGTGCCTGCCCCTCTGCAATGTCCGTGGCTTCTTCAAATGTTCCCAAAGGGGACAAAAAGACCACTCTAGAGGACTTTGGCATTTTCTACATGCTAAGGAGCTGTGATTTCATCAGTATGAGAGGGACCTCCATTGCCACAGATTAGCAGTACATCTATGCCTTAATAATAATGGTAATTAGTAATAATATAATGGTAAGGGCTCTACACTTGAAGTAACTCCAAGTCACAACACTTCAATTAATCAAAGGCATTTAACTAGGTACAAAAAGTCTTTCATTGATTTTGAAAATCATTGGCTGAAATGAAATGATGCTACCTTAGAAGCTTATTGGGAGTGGCTAAAGAGATTCAGTCATGTGTTGTGGGGGCACTGGAGAAAGAAGCAAGCCAGTGTGAAACCCAGATCCCAGGAGGCCCAGACTCACCAATCAGGGAGCAGATAGGGTTGCCCTCGGCGATGCTGGAGAGCTGACCCATGAGATTGGCCTGAATCTCAGGACTTAGTGTGGATAAGTCTCTCTCTGCCAGGGACTTGTTGACTTCTATGCAGGTCTGGAGGCCTATGGAATTCAAGGCCTCCTGGAGGTTGAAAGTCCTAGGGGAGGGTGGGGAGAGAAGGCAAGGGGGGGAGGGAGAGAGGAAGAAAGAGGAAGGAAACAAGGCAGGGAGAGAGGGAAAGGAAGAAGGAGAGGGAGAGGGAAAGGGGGAGAGAGAGAGAGAGAGAGAGAGAGAGAGAGAGAGAGAGAGAGAGAGAGAGAGAGAGAGAGAGAGAGAGAGAGAGAGAGAGGAAGAAAAAGAAGAAGGAGAAGGAGAAGGAGAAGGAGAAGGAGAGGGAGAAGGAGAAGGAGGAGGAGAAGGAGGAGGAGGAGAAGGAGGAGGAGGAGAAGGAGGAGGAGGAGAAGGAGGAGGAGAAGAAGGAGGAGGAGAAGGAGGAGAAGAAGGAGGAGGAGAAGGAGGAGGAGAAGGAGGAGAAGAAGGAGGAGGAGGAGAAGAAGGAGGAGGAGGAGAAGAAGGAGGAGGAGGAGGAGAAGAGAGGAGGAGGAGAAGAGGAGGAGGAAGGAGAGGAGAAGAAGGAGGAGGAGAAGAGGAGGAGGAGAAGAAGAAGGAGGAGGAGAAGGAGGAGGAGGAGGAGAAGGAGGAGAGGAGGAGAGGAGGAGGAGGAGGAGAGGAGAAGGAGGAGGAGGAGGAGAGAAGAGGAGGGAGGAGAAGGAGGGAGGAGAGGGAGAGAGGTTCACATATTATAATTTCTCGATTTCCTTTTAAATTCCCCATTGCTTCTTCAGCCACATTTCCCACTTGATTAAGCACTTTCGATGATTCCGTCTAGCTGTACAGATGGTGGATGGAGTTTGCCCCTTCCTTGTCCAACACCCCCACATTTAGTAGGTTTCAGAACCTTCTCTGGGTCGCCGCTCCCAAGACCACAGATGTAGAGACACAAGGCGCTTACAGGCTATTCAGTCCAATGGCTCTCATTTTACCCATCAGCTCCTGCGACTTGCAGGGTCATGCAGCCACATGCGGCACCTGAACTCAGGTGTTCCCAGCTCTCTCCCTCCTGTTCTATGACTTCTTTAACAACAGACCGGCCTCTTGAGCTCAGAGCGGCATCTGGGGAGCCGTTCAGGCCACACACCCTAATACCAAGAGCTAACATTCGGAATGCTCTTTCAGAAGGTTGGTAAAGTACTTAACTGAGCCCCACAACAAACATGTGAGTAAGGGGCTGTTGTTATCCCCATTTTACAGATGAGGAAACAGAGGTGCACAGAGGCTGAGTCACTTGCCCGGGGACACACCTCAGAGGCATCTGAGGCAATATTTGAACTCAGGTCTCCCTCCTTCTCCAAATCCAGCACTCTGTCTAGTACACACTCTAGGTACCACAGGTAGGACTTGAACCCAGGTCTTCTTGACTCACAGAGTGCTCTATATTAGCTGGATCACACGCTGCCTCTTGGTAAGAATAATGGCGAGTTAATAATAACAAAGACTGATGTTCACATAGAGCATCATGGGATGCTACCATAATGGCTCTGTAGATGGAAGGGTTCCTGAAGCCATCTAGTCCCAAGCCCGAAAAGCACTTTACATTTTTTAATTTTATTTGAGCCCCATAACAAACCTGGGAAGTTGGTGATGTCATTTTATCCTCATTTTACAGAAAAGGAAACCGAGGCTCAGGGAGCATCATGGACTTGTGCCTTCGCACCACGTAATGGGTATTTAATAAATACTTGTTGTTATGTGTTACAAGGCTAAGGTGAGAGTGAAAATTGTACTTGTGAGCCAGAAAGGGGCCTGGAGGAACATGTAAGTATCTGAACTGGGATGTGAACTCAGGTGCCGGACTTCAGAGACAGTCAGTGCTCCTTCCCCGTACCAAACTTGCCTCCCAATCAGCAAGCATTTATTAAGCACTTACTGTGTGCTATTCTGGGTCCCGGGGATACAAAGAATGACACAATAGCTACTCAAAAGAAACTTCCCTTCTATTAGGGGTAAACAGAGGTACCAAGGAAAAAAGGGGGGGAGGAGGAGACCCAGGGCAAGATGGGTACAACTGTACCAAAGGATAACCCAACTCACAGCGGTTTTCCACAACTGAGTTTTGCAGGTTCGGCTGTTTTGGTTTGGTTTGGATTTGGGTTTTGGCACTGTTCAGACAGCACAGTCAAAGACGAGTCCTAACATCTTCATTCTACATGGGAACACGGCACCCTTCCTGGCAGTAGCCATGGAAATTCCCCCTCCCTACCTTAGAGAAGAACACCTAAGCCTTGAGCAATATTAAAGGCACTGGAGGGGGGGAAACCCATCCGGTAAAAAGCTCCAAGCCACAGTCGTGAAAATCCCATCTGGCGATCGCTTTCCAAACTCAGTGAGGGATGATAGGACAAAGTGAACCCACGTTGGCTTCCAGTACTTACTCCTTGTTCATTCCTTCAAGTAAGACGGTGGAAATCCTTTTCAGTCGGTCTGAGAGCTCAGGCGAGCCTTCTATCAGAGTGCCCACCATATTGCTGGTGATTAGTGACAGGCAGGCGAGAACCTTCAATTGATTTAGCCTTTCTGTCAGTTCCTGAAGACGGGTTCCATCTGTCATTAGTGTCTGATCAATAAAAATAAAACGAAACAAAAATCATTAAAAAACAAACAAGCAAACAGGAGAACCACATGCAGCACCTAACCCAATTCCCTCATTTGAGAGACGATGAAATTAAGACCCAGGGAGGCTAAGACTTGCCTAAGGCTGCATGGTGTGATGGTCCATGCTGGACCTTTCAGTTCAAATCTCCCATGTAAAAATTTATTATAATATTTCTAGGATCTAGGGTGTTTCAAGGCTTAAACGAGATACTTGAGATACCACAAATGTGCTACAGATAGGCCAGCCAGCATTGCTGGAGGGCAGCCCTTTTCCACCTTCCAATGCCTGCCCTGGGCCTCTGCAGTGCTCTGGCTGGTGAGTGCCTGGGTAGCCCAGCATATGGAGCTAAGATTCAGTTTATGACCCAGCCACCTTCTTTCCAGCCAACTTGGGCTGCATATCCTTGCCCTCCTCCCCCATGCCTTCAATTGCAGTTCTAGAACCATTATCAAATCAACACTACCCTTGCTACTCTATGAGATGTGTGTCCGTCCACTCCCTTATGACTCCACTGACCATCTCAGTAATTTTCCAAACCAAAACGTGTGGATTCCCTCTATTAGAATGTAGGCCCCTTGAGGGTAGGACCTGTCTTCCCTTCTGTTATTTGTATCCCCAGGACCTAACCCAATGCCTAGTATACAGTAAGCACTTAATAAATGCTTTCATTCATTCATTCATTACTGTTAGGGTAACAAGTAGAATAGCTGGGATGAGAATGCACTTCCCACCCAGCAACGCTGGCACCCAGCATTTACGTCATTCATGTTAGTAGTAAGGATAAGAACAGCTTTTTAAGTATTAGACTGCAAGCTACCTGAGGGCAGGAACTAACTTTTACCTTTCTTTGCATCCCCAGAACTGGCACATAGTAGGTGCTTAATAAATGCTTGCTGACTGTGGATAGAAGGCTTCGCATCTCATTTGTGTCAACAACTTTGTGAGGTGAGTAATGTAAGAATTGTTTTCTCTCTTTTACAGATGTGGAAACTGAAGGTGAGACAGAGGAAGTGACTAACCCAGGGGCACACAACCAAGCGATCAACATGCCTTTAAGAAGGCCCTACTGCATGCTTGCCAGACATTGGGCCAGGTGCTGGGGAAGCAACCACAGACCTCTAGCTCACACTGGCTGACTCTTACCCCTACCCCACCCCCTGTCTCTAATACTATATTACACTTGCTAATATGACCTCGTTTTAGAGGCACTGTGGTCCAGTGGCAAGGGTACTGGGCTTGGATGGAGTCACAAAGACCTGAGTTCAAATGTCACCGCAGTCAGAGACAGAAACGTTACAGACATTTACTAGGTAGGTGACCCTGGGCAGGTCTTCTAATATGCCCTTCTCCCCATCTCAGTTTCCTTCCCTCCCTCCCGGTAAGACCAAAAGTACCACCTTAATCCTCACTATGGGATAGTGGGAGTCTCTCGGGGAAGTGCTTTGTAAATAAACGTCAGCTACTCTTACAATTATCTTGGCAAGTGGTGTCAATTACACATGATTGTATGTATACAAGATGAGCAAATTCCCAGGAACCAGAGGAATAAAAACGCAGAAAACCCCAGGGAGGTGGTCACCTCAGGCAATTCCTTCTTCCGATAATCCCAATGCAGCAGCTTCAAGTAACTGTTGTTCAGCACTGTGGTTGGGCTCAGGCTGGGTCTGGGGCTACCCCCAGCCACAGGAGAGGAGGCGTTTTCCGAAAGAGAAAACAATTCTTCATTGACAGATTCCTTTATCCACTCCTTCGTGACATCCAGGGCACCTAGAAAAGAATGGTCAGATAAGAAACGAACGGCACTCTGCAAACCTTAAAGCACCAGACAAATGCTAGGCATCATCATCATCATCCTCACCTTTACCATCATCATCCTCATCCTCATTGTCATCTTATCCTCATCATCACCATCATCCTCACCATCATCATCACCATCATCACCATCACCATCATTATCTTCATCCTCATCTTCACCATCACCATCATCACCATCACCACCATCCTCATCATCGCCATCATCATCACCATCACCACCATCCTCATCATCACCATCACCATCATCATCCTCATCATCACCATCACCACCATTCTCATCATCACCATCACCACCATCCTCATCATCACCACCATTCTCATCATCACCATCATCATCCTCATCATCACCATCACCACCATTCTCATCATCACCATCACCACCATCCTCATCATCACCACCATCCTCACCATCACCACCATTCTCACCATCACCATCACCACCATCCTCATCATCACCATCATCATCCTCACCATCACCACCATCCTCATCATCACCACCATCCTCATCATCACCATCCTCATCATCACCATCACCATCATCCTCACCATCATCACCATCACCACCATCCTCATCATCACCACCATCCTCATCATCACCATCCTCATCATCACCATCACCATCATCCTCATCATCATCGTCAGCATTGCTGTTGTTATCTCACAGAAAGGCCTTTCAGAAATTGGCACGCAGAGGAAGCACTTGGCAAAGTCAGTGCTGGAGCTGGAAGTAAGAGGTTCTGGATTTAGATTCTGGTTCTGCCACTTAAAACCTTGGCCTTCGCATCTTTGGGCCTCAGTTTCCCTGTCTGCAAAGCGTGGGGGTTGGACCTCTGAGGTCCCTTCCAGATCTAGACCTGTGCACCAAGACTGAATTCCCCTCTGCCCTGCTGCTTGTTGCTGGGTGACCTTGGGCAAGTCTTTTCATCTCTGTGGGATGAAGGGGCTAGATTAGCTGGCCAGGAAGGCCTCTTCCAACTCTAAATCTCTGAGAATGAAAAATCTAAAGAGTGAGCATGACAGAACAACAGAAACCCACCGGGCTCTTCCAAACAGCAGCAAACCAAGCCACCCACAGCCCGCGTCACTTGGACCAGCAGAGTGGCCCAGACAAGTCAAGCAATGGGGTAAACCTTCACAAGCTAAAAGATTCCTCAGCTGTAAAATAAAGGGTGCATCTAGACAGCCTCTGGGGTTACGTCCAGCCCTACATCTACCAGCTTAAAAATAAGTTTATGACATTCCTACTACATGCAAGGGCAGCTAGGTGGCGCCATAGCGCACAGAGCACTGGGCCGAGAGTCAGCAAGGCTCATTTTCATGCGTTCAAATCCAGCCTCAGATTCTTACTATCTGTGGGACTCTGGGCAAGTCACTTCACCCTGTTTGCCTCAGTTTCCTCATCTGTAAAATGAGCTAGAGAAGGAAATGGCAACCCACCCCAACATCCCTGTCAAAGAAAACCCCAAAGGGGGTCACAAAGATTCAGACACAACTCAACACCATGAGCTGACCCTAATCTAGCTTTCCCACCTCATTGGACATTCCTCCTCCCATGCTCCAAGATCCAGTTCAACTGGCCTCCTCTCTCTCTCTTCCTCACGTGTGACACTCCATCTCCAGAGTCCATGCCCTCGCACTGACCAGCCCTCATGCCTAGGATGCCACCCCCTCCTCACCTGCACCTCAAAGAATCCCTCTCTTCCTTCAAGAAGTAGCTCAATTGGGGCAGCGAGGGGGCGCAGTGCATACAGCAACAGCCCTAAAGTTAGGAGGACCTGAGTTCAAATCGAGCCTCAGACCAAACACTTGATACTTACTAGCTGTGTGACCCTGGGCAAGTCACTGAAACCCAACTGCCTAAAAAAAAAAAGAAGTCGCTAAAGCCTTTCTTGATCTCTCCAAATGCTAGCTCCCCTTCTCCCAAACTCCCTTGTCTTTTTCTTGCATTTATTCTGTTTAGAATTATTCTGTCTATACTCATATATGCATGCATCTCCCTGATAGAATGAAGCTTCCTAAGAGTTGACATCGTTTCATTCTTTATCTTTGAATCACTGGCGTCTCATATGCTGGCAACACATAGTAGGTGCTTTAAAAGTTCTAGATGAGGGGCAGCTAGGTGGCACAGTGGATAGAGTACTGGCCCAGAGTCAGGAGGACCTGAGTTCAAATTGGGACTCAGACACCCGACACTTACTAGCTATGTGACCCTAATCAGCTCCCCTAACTCCAACTGTCTCCTCCCCTTCCCCCTCCCCTGAAAAAAAAAGTCCTGGATGAGAGATTATCTAAGGCTTAGTTATACTTAATAAAAGGATTTGTTCTGTGAAGTTTGGATTCAATCAAAAGGCCACACTTGAGGACCTAAAGGGCCACATGCGGCCTTGAGGCCACAGGTTTCCCATCCCCGAAAGCTATTGAAGTCATATAACAAAGTATGGTTGTATTTTATTATAAGACAGAGAAAACTTTAGTCTTCGACAGGAAGATCAAGGATTTAGAGCTAGAACAGACCTCAGGGGTCATTTCGCCCAAACCCCCTCACTTTACAGAGGAAGCCAAGTGACCCAAGTTCACACGGACAGGAAGTAGCAGTGGCAGGATTCAAACCCAGGTCCTCTGGCTCCCAATCCATTGTCCTGTCAATGGCAGCTTTTCCTGATCCCCTCCCCCATCCTAAGCCCCTTCCTAATAAAAAAGCTCCAATACACACTTGGCCAAATCAGATGCTCTGAGCAAAGGCTGAGGGGAGCCCACGACCATGCACGAAGGGAAGTGCCACTGTTTCCTCATCACACAGTGTACCCTTACTAAAATTAGTATTTGCCAAACATAGCCCAACTCTAAGGAGATGCAGAAATATTTTCCATTCATTGTAACTGATAAGACCAGCACGTAAGCCTCTGCAAATGACTGTTCAGTGGAAGGCTGTTCCATAGCGGGGATCTGTTGTGTATGATCAGAAAAGGGACAAACACTATAAATAAAGAAGAGGAAAACTGACAATGGAAAGAGCACAGAGTTCCCCAGTCTGAGCACCTGGGTACCAACTCCAACTCCTCTACTGACTAGCTGTGTGACCTGGAGAAAATCATGCCCCACCCCCACCCCATTTTTTCCATCATAAAATAAGGTTCCTGGGTTCCAAGGTCCCTTTCAGTTCTTAATTTGATTATCTGGTGATCTCATGATGCAACCCTGCTCTGCCAAAAAGAGCCAAAGAATGGCCTGGTCAAATCTTACCAGCTCTTCCCAAGTTTGGTGTGCCAAGATGGGGCAGAGTCAAGGTGGCGGAGCGAGAGGGAGCATTTTTGCCTCACTCAATCAGCAAACCTCCTTCACAATAAGCTAGTCACCATTCCAGGGTGGAGAGGAGTAGCTGCGACCCAGAGGGACCTGAGCTGCATACGGAGCAAGAACAAGTCCCAGAACCACAGCGGTGCAGCGCTGAGCCCAAGAGCAGAGTGCGAATTCAGTTCTAACCTTCAGGTAGAAGATCCTGGCCAATGGGAAGCCAGGAGTTCACTCTGAACCTGCAGAAACTTCCAGCAGACTACAGGGACCGAATCCAGCAGCAGTTTTAAAACTCAAAGAAGGGAAGTGAAGGAAAAATTGGGGAAAGGAGAGCAATGAAAGAAAATTTTGAAAAGAGAATTAACAGCTTGGCAAAGGAAGTATAAAACAGCACTGAAGAAAATAACTCCTTAAAAATGAGAATCATCCAAGTGGAAGCTAATGACTCCATGAGACATGAAGAAATAATAAAACCAAGTACATCAGTATCTCAATTACAAGGTCAAAGGTTAAATGACTGTCCCAGGATCTTCCAGTTAGCCCAACCAAGGAAGGATTTTAATCCAGAGCTTCCTAACACCAAGTCTAATAACACTCTATCCCTTGGGTTCCCATGCCATGGGTCATCTAGGTCTACCCATCCATAGCCCAAAGAACAACGGTCAGACCCATGTGGGGCAATTTTACTTTCAGAGCCCAGATTTTTTAGTGCCATCCAATGTCTCTGGGGCCCAGAGACATGTGCCAGTGTGCATGGCTGGGCTACAAAGGTTTCCCTGAAAAAAATGCCTTACTTCATGTTTTAAGAGCATTGGAAAGAGAATACGGTTCCAGACAGATTCCAACACCTGGTAAGGAGCATGATGCTGTAACAGCTAAGTCTAAGAGGGCAGGATGTGGGCAACGTCAGGGAAAAGGCTCCTCCTTTGAATTCCACAATTTGTTTTTTTATTATTATTGAAAATTGTACTTCATTCTCCATTTCCCTGGTTCTAACATTTGAATTATAATCTCTCCAAACCTGGCGGCATTTGTACATTTTCATTCTTTTTTTCCTCTGAAAAAACTGTTTACTTATAGAGCACCTTTGGAGAGAAACAGGACAAGAAGAAAGAGGATCCTGATGGGAAAGAGAGAAGAGAGATAGAAAGGAAAAAGGATAGAGGGAGAAAGAAAGGGGAAGGGGAGGAGAGGGAGGAGAAGAGGAGGCAAGGGGAGAAGAGAGGGAGAAAGAGAGAAGAAGGGGAGAGTCAATCAGTAAACATTTAATCAAATAAATTAAATAATAAAAAAAGCCTACTATGTGCCACTGTGTCAAGTGCTAAGGATAGATACAAATATGAAAAAGAAACAAGTCTCTGTCCTCAAAGAGCTTACCATGTAATGAGGGAAGACAACACACGGAAAGCAGAAAAGGGGACAAGGAGGAGAAGAGAAAGAGGAAAGAGGGAAGGGGGAAAAGAAAGAGAGGGATGGAGAAAAGAGAGCAGGAGAGAAAGGAGGGGAGGAAAGAGGGAGGGGAGAAGAGAGAGAGAAGGGGAAGGGAAGAAAGGAGGGAAGAAGGAAGAGGAAGTAGGGAAGAAGGGGAAAGGGAGAAGACCTGCTCTCGGCCCCCCCAAAAAAAAAAGAATCAACATGGAAAATAACTTGTATTTACT